ACCCTTAAGATTTCATTAAGTAGTTTGAATAGTTTTGTGTACTTTTCTATATGTGGTTTGTGCTGAGATCTAAGAATGAGTAAACACTTCAGTCACAGAGCAGTTAAATAAATAAAGTTTGTGTTGTAAATACCAAATCCAGTACATTAGTCCACAATTTTCATAGACATGTAATTTGTACCCAGACCTGGGTGGTTGTTCAGCATATCGTATACCCTAATATCACACAAACCTATAACATCTATTTATACTTTCAGTTAAATAAAAATAAATTTCAGTTTGTTTTTTAACATTTTCATAAGACCTTACATAACCACAAAAGCGCAAAAATGTGGTTGGAATCCAACATATCAATAATCATTTCCTTAAAAATCCATCTATTTATCAGCATTAGATTCACCATAACAATAAATACTGAGTAACATATGCACTTTCGTTTGCATCTATAGATATTAAGTAGAACAGGCTTTCTGGTATTTTAACATTGCTTTGATAATTACATTCCAAATACAGGTGTAATCATGTTTATTACTCATCATTTACATTACCAACATGTCTATACTTCACTCTTAAAATAGCTGTTGCTTTACAGAGATATTGTTAACACTGAGAACTATGACTTACCATTGACTCTACTATTAAAAAGCACACAATATTCTGACATATGAGTCTATTTTGGACATATAAAATAGAACTCATCCTAAAAGCCACTTCATAAAATGCTTAGGGCAAATGAGTATATTTGAAGCCCTGGTTACCTCAGAAGATCATCATTCTCTGAATATGTTCCTTTGGCAATCTCCTGTTACTGATTCTTGACTTTATGCTTTAGGAAATTTATGATAGGTTGTTTTTTTGTTGAGGTTCTACCTGCCCTTATATAAGGAAAGTGTCAGTTAGGAACTATAAGGCCCTAGGACAAAATCCTTTTTTTTTTTTCCAGTAGCATACTATTGCTATTTTTATGACTCTATCATTTTCATAGTTTTAAAAGTGTAATCTGAAAGTACAACCTGAGGCTCTAAAGTAATGAAGATAGTAAATGAATAAATAAGGTATGCTCAATACCCATTTCTCATATCTTTTCAACAGGAAGAAATAGAACTGCTGTAAATCCAGCTTCAGACAGAAGAATCCTGACTAAAATAATAGGAAAATAATCATTGACCAGCTTATAATAAATATGCATGGGCATCTGAATTAATCAAAGGAAAAAGTCTAATCATCTCTATTTTCTCTGAAAATACTTTAGAATTTCACAAATGAAGAAGTTAGACATGTAAAGAGATGTCAGTAGTAAATGTGTTCTACAGGAAAGGCTTTGAGGTATTTCTTCTTCAAAGCACACATGAATACCTTTTACTAGTGATAACTAATAGTTAATATCCATGTTGAATATTCATGTCTATTTCCTTTCATTAATTGCAATTTAATGCTAAACAAAAGAGACTTGTGACTTTTCTCTCTTTTCTATTTACTGTATTATTCTTAAGCTAACGAGTTAATATAGAATCTCACATAATTTTTTTAAGCTCAGCAGTTGTTTTGTAATTAGGTACACATATGAAATTTAAATGTTAGTAATTACTAATTTTCACCCAAAATTGTTTAATGGACTATAGGGTTATGTTCCCATTTCCATGCTCAAATTACTATTTTAATAAGACTTTGATAAAGACTTTATACAGTAAGCTCACAGTTGTTAAAGCAGATCAATTTTTAAATCAAATTCTCACTACTGTTAATGATGAGATCTTAAATTCTCTAAGAAAATTTTTCAGTTAAGTACAAAAAAATCAGAAACAGATAAATTGAAGTATTAGCATCAACATCTATTTATGGAAAAGAAGTAATACATGAAAGATATTCCAAGGACAAGTTGATTATGTTATACACTGTTGGAAACATTAATTATTACTTAGACAATCTTAAATATTCTTGAGACAATGGATTTCTTTTAGTCAATGAAAAAGAAAACGACTTCAAAAATTGCCAGTCTTGCTAATTTACAAACTCAAAATCACAAGCAAAATCGTACTAGCTATTCTCAACATAAATGTCTTATCTAATATAGATTAACCTATGAGAAATTCTATTCCCTAAAATCAGCACAAAAGACACCCCAATATATTTTGGAGATTTCTAAAAGTCATTCTTTTAACTATCCTTCAAATTATATTTAAAAAATTAAAAGGTATAGATTATGATTTTCAGAAATAACTTTACTTATACATTCCTTTCCCTGGACTTTTATGAGCCCATGGTTGTCACCTACATATAACTGTACACAGATAATCTTTCAGCACAAAAAATCATGATTCCAGATTTCTACCCATAACCAAGACTGCGATTCTATAGTTAGACCAAGGAAGGGAGATGATTTCCCAAATTATAGATGGCCAAAAATTTTTTTTTGTTTTGTTTTTTGAAATAATTATTGCAAGAGATGTATCTTTTTATTATCTTTACTGAGAAAATATAATGTATAAATATCACATTATTAGCCTTTAAATTCCAATAAGAATTAGGAAGTCCCCTAGATCAGTCTTCTGCACAATGCAGGGCTCTGTAATTTTTGAGACCAGGTTATAAACCATTGACATGAGGCTCATCTGCATGCACTATATATATATATATTTTTTTTTAATTAAACCAACACATGGATTTAACAGATATTTATACTCAAATGAACTTGGAACATTCTCCAGGATAGACTACATGCTAGGTCACAAAACAAGTGTCAACAAATTCATGAAGTTTGCATTCCAACAAATAGTGCCATCAAGTTTCCTTTTTTCATTAGAAATTGAGAATTTTTAGTATTTATTCAATTGTTTGAAAATATAATTTAATATGATAGCACATTTCTATAAAAATAAACTTTGCAAAACACCCCAAATTAGTGAGAAAGGTGACTTTTTTTTTTTTTTTAACATTTCTGCAAATCTTTCTTAAGCCTGGGCCTGGCTTAATAAAAGACAGATTCTTGTGACTATTTCGGAATTCAATCTGTTGTTATACCACACATCAGGTAGCCTCTAGAAAACTCACGGAGAATGAGAGAGTAAAATTGTAAATACCATGATAATTATTCTAAGATTAGTTTTGACCTTTTCAGTCCCCTGAAAGAGTCTCTGGCACCCCCAGGGGTACCCCGACCATATTTAGGATCCATTTATGCTTTAATTAATGTGGCTTAGGTTCCAATTAGTGTTTCTAGCAATTATGGCATTCATTCTCCCTATCTTCAGTTTGTCATCAATTTGTAGCTCTTTCTAAAGCAAAGTATTGTCCTGTTTTTCTTTGATAATAAACTAATTTATTTCTTTTTAACTGAGGGGTATCCCATCAGGTATTCCACCATTATGCATCCACCACCATCTCACGGGGACTTCACCACCACAGACCATTATGCCTCCTTCCCTTCTTGCTCTTTCCTTTTTCTAACCCGCCCCCCATTGGGAACAGGTTTTGTTATGTTCCATTTTCTACGTTTTGTTGTCAGCTATTAAGGGTTAGCTTTTCAACTTGCCTTTACTGACTACTAATTTAGCTACTTTATAATCCACTATAAATGACACCATTCGGTATTTACTAGAAACAAGTGCTGGCAAGGATTTGGAGAAAAGAGGACCTCTGACAATGCTGGTGAGAATACAAACTGATCCAGCCACTCTGGAAAGCAGTATGAAGGTGTCTCAAAACACTAAACATGGATTTGCCATTTGACCCAATAACTCCAGTCCTATGCTTCTTTTCAAAAATTCAAAAACACTAATTTGAAAGGATATTTGCCTCCCATTTTTATTACAGCACTATTTATTATAGCCAAATTATGAAAACAATCTAAGTGCTCCACAACAGATGAGTAGATCAAGAAGATGCAGTTTATATGCTTAATGGAATATTACTCAGCAATCAAAATAGGTAAGCTCATGCCATTTGAGCAACATGATGGAGCTTGACAGGATAATGCTAATGATATAAGTCAAAAGGAGAAAGATAAAGTATATTAATGTGAAGCCTCCCCTTTTTCATTTAAAGGCTGAACTTATACAGGTATTTACCCATAGATGCTACCACATTAATTTCAGGTTATTCTTTCGCTAAAGATACTGCTAGTTTTCTGTCCAATCTCTTAACCAACATCAGCAAACCCATCACCAAGCATCTGTCATGACTGTTACTAATCATAGAGGGCCCCTCTCAATAACACTAGAGCCATCTTGCTTGGGAAGCTGTGCCCACCTCCATTTCTGCTAACAATTGATAAACCAACTGCATAACAAAGGGCAGCCCCAAGGAAACAAAGTGGGATTAATTCTGGTTGCCAATTGTGCTCCAAAGTTTCCCAGGTAGTCAGAAACAAATTAGCTTCCAGTTCAGTCCACGTTCTTCCATAGCTTTCATTCTGTCTTGTCTTCCTTCTATCACAATCTTTCTCAAGCACACATCTCTAATAAGTAACTTAAATAGAAATCTCCATTTCAAGCTGTTTCTGGTAAATCAAGCCTAAAATTTCAATCAAAATTACTTCAATATCAATTCTGTCATCCATAGCACATTAATTAACCATTTAGTTATGTGGCATCTCAAATATATTAAACAACCTACTTTTACCAATACGGTGATTTTCAAAGTGTGGCCCCTGGGCCAGCAGCATCCCCATCACCATAAAACTTGTTAGAAGTCCAATGGAGAAAAATCGATAGGCAAGGGAAAGTATCTGTGGCCTTCAGGTCCATGAAAAACCAAAAAGGTAAGGCTCAGGGCACCCTGCATAAACTCTGAGAGTATCTTAAATTAAGTACAACTCCTGCTGTCAATATTATAGGAGGAAATGAATCCTGACAAATGATGTTCCTTCTCCCCGTCCCCCTCCACTAAGTCCGTAATTCAATGACAGATATTTTCGCAAATTACGTATCTAACAGATTAAAACTCTTTAAATGTATACTTCTTAAAAACTGACAAGAAGAATGACACATTAAGCCACTCACCTCTATGGGAAGACAAGTCTCTACAGGAGCTGATATTTCTGGATGTGACATCATGGTCCCATTTTTAACTTGAAAACACGTTTTGCACATATAACCATCTGTATAGTCCTGTGTTCAATCACCAAAGAATACAAAGAAAATGCCAGTTATTTTAATATTTCATCATTCTAAAACGTACAATTTTGCAAAGTTCCAAACTGAGTAATGAAAATAAGTATATTAAATGAGATGAGAGTATCTGGGTAAAGAAACTCATTCAAAATTCCCTGCACATTACAGGTAATCAGTGAATAGTTTTAGTACTCTACATTGCTCACTTTTTAATGATGTTTCTTCTTCTCTTAAAGATCCACTCTGATTTTGCCCAAACAGTACATAACACTAAAATCCCAGAGCAAGCCTTTTTTTTTTCTCTTCAAATTTGCACATCTTTTTTTTTTTTTTTTTTTTTTTTACTCAGGTCCCAGCAAAATACAGAGAAAGACAGAATTTGAACTTTATTCTCAATTGACTTGCATTCTGGACCTTCTTATTACCTCATGCCAAAAAGAACTCTTAAAAAAAAATTAAACTTTGGGCCCTCCCTGGTGGCGCAGCGGGTTAAAGCACAGCACTGAGAATCTAAAGCCGCTTCCTCATGAGTTCTATTTCCGCCTGCCACGGAGGTGACCACCGTGTGGTGTGGCAGAAGACCTCTCCTGACACGCCCGCTGCTCCCCTCAGCAGTGTACTTCATCAATCTGCCTGTTCAGTTCCCCACTCTGTCTCTGGTGAAGCCTCTCACCACCCCTGAGCCTCTGGCCTGTACCCAGTTCTGGATGCACAAATAAATAAATCTAAAAAAAAAAAATTAAACTTCGTCTTATAGTTCTTCTTTTGACGGTGTCTTTAGCTTGGTAGCTAATAAGAAGAATTTAAGTTGACAGAAATATCTTGCCACATAATTAGTATGGCATATATATATAGAGAGAGAGAAAGAGAGAGAAATTTTAGTTGATTTTGCAACACATCTTGAAGCTGGAAGGGATTTCTTGCTCAAGGCAAAAGATCTTCCTTAAAAAGGTCCAGTGGGTCATTATGCAGTACCCCCTGAGTGCTTCAGGACCCTGCACTTTTCTTCCTTACACCATCACCACCCTCACTTGGTACATGGTGCACTGGTCATTGAAAAAGTTTTGTCTTATATTGCAGCCAACATTTCTCACTGAGTCTACCACTTTTCCATAGTTGTTATCTAAAGAACTGAAGTGATTGACCATTTGATTTCCAAGCTTCTCACTAGTTGTATTTCACTCTTTCCCTGAAACTTGCTTTTAAAAACACTAATGGATGATGCTTAATTCCAATGGATGGGATCAATTCCATTTTCTCAGGCGAAACTTACTTGAACTTAATAATATCACTTATAAAATATAATAATTCCCAAGCACAAATGTAGCAATTTAATGAATATTTATTGCCATACCAAACTGTTACACTAATACATATTAACAGAATTAAAATAATAATAATTAAGGAGAAAATAGTCACTTGATCTGAGCAACTAAAAAATTCATAGTTCACGTAAATAATTTCACCAATTTCAAAATCCAGATATTTATTATAAAATAGAAAAGTTGTATAGTGTTTGTGATGCATTTCATTTTTAGTAACTTGTGTCATGCCAACTGTTAACAGTATTTGATTTTCAGTAACTGTACTAGGTTGAATAGTGCCTTCTCACCCCAAAATGTATGGCCACTGTGACCCTGCAGATATGACCTTATTTGGAAATAGAATCTGTGCTGTCGTAATCAAGTTAAGAGGGGATCATACTGGTATAGGGTAGACTCTGAGTGCAGTATGACATGTCTTTATTAAAAAAAAAAAAAAAAGGAAAATTTGGCTATGGAGACACAAACACGTAGGGGAGCAGAGGAAGACCAAAGCAGAGACCATAGTGGTGGACCTACAGGTCAAAAATTGCCATCAAGCACCAGAAGCTATAAGATGAAAGAAGGACTTTTCCCTGGAGTCTTGAGAGAAAGCACAGCCCTACCAACACTTTAAATTCCAACTTCCAACCTCTAAAACTGTAAGAGTATGACTATCTGTGTTTTAAGTCAACTAGTTTGTGGTACTTTGTTATAGCAGCGCTAGGAAACTACTATAGTGACTGTATTTTCTAAGAGGTCTGGCAGAACCTTCACAAAGCCTCCCAGTTGGCTAGTCTGACATCTCACTGGCAATTACACAGGAGTCCCACTGGCTGAATGTGATCAGCACCAGTTCTGATGGGCTGGACCTAACTCATTCTGACTGGTTAATATCATGGTCACAGATTGTTAAATATCTTAAGTACCACTGCTGCTTGTAGGATAAACTATCAAATGTCCATACTACCACCCTTTATTATTTCATTAAGCTTTTACAATTGTAGATGGGATTATTGTTTGAAATCCTACTTCTACATCATCCAACCACAGAATATACCAAATTTCGATGGACTTCTACCAATGATATCTTTATATTTAGACAATGTAAATAATTTTTAAACATTTAATACTGGCTTAAATTAAGAAAGCTATATGTAGTGGAAGTTGTTGCTGCTTTTTACATTAAGTATTCATTCTGCCTTCTTTGGGGACAGTAGCCAAGTTTCCCCCAAGTAATCATTCTCTTCGCCCTACTTATTGAGGATATGACCTCCCAACTTCAAAAGTGGTCAGAGAATTCTGATCTGGCCAATCAGGGCACCATTCCAGCTGGCATCAGAGACTCAGGAGGGCAAATGATTCAATTCAAGCCAATGAGATGAGATTCAGGACTTTGTTTAAATGAGGAGGAAAGTTGTTCTCTTTTCCACTGGATTTGAACCAGAAAGACAAAATCTTGTCAGTGTTGGCTTCCATCGTATAATTAAATGGAGTCTGAGAATGATGTCACTGCCAAGGAAAGCAAGGTCATGAGATGCACAGACCAGATCCTGATGTCACTGTTTCTACCAACCATACCTGAAGCCAGTCCTACCCTTGAATTTTTTTAACTAAGTGGCCCCAATAACAGTTGTGGTTTTGTGTTGTTATTTGTGACCAAAGTAACCATTCTATAAAATGACATAGGTTATATTTTATTAGTCTGGAAGATTTTGTTCTACATTGGATACAATTCTCATTATTATAAATAACTAATAGTTGAATATATAAAAGATTTACCAAACATAATGACATGTGTTTGTGAAAAAAAATACTGGAAATCTGCAATTTAAAAGTGATCTAGTCTGCTCACTTTTTTGGTTGGGTTATTTGTTAATTATTTTATAACTCTAATTACAATGCATAATACATTTCTTTTGACATCAAAAGAAATTGAGCAAAATATTCCTGTGCATTTATGTAATAAAATCTATATAACTATCTGGTCTTCTTTCCATAGAGTTAAAAACAAGAACTATATCATTGTTGACATTGTTTATAATTTAAGGGGTTATAACTATTATTTTGGGTAATTTCTCATACTGTTTACTAGCCTCGATAGGAAAGTTCACAAGGGTTTTTGATCATCCTATATTTGGTCGTGATTTTCTTTTTCAGTGTCAACCTCTTAATAATCAAGTTTAACCTTGAGAAATTAAATACAGAAAAAGGAGAGGTTATAGCCTCTTCATTTCTCTTCAAACACTTATTTCCACAGAAGCAAGACTTTCTTCTGCATTGTTTTCATTTGAGGTAGGAAAATAAGTTTTTTCCTTTGCTTTTGAAGAATGCTTTTGTAAAGGCGAGTAAACAAAAAAGGATGAGAGCCTCCACCCTGGGCACGAATGTTCATCCGGCCTAGTAAATGATGTTTAACACAAATATCACTCCAGCTACTCCAGCAGACACTCAACCCTGGCTTTCTACATTCTTTTAGTTCTTAACGACAGCATACAATTTGACTCATTTTTCAGTTCTTGAAAATGAGTTAGTTTTCTTTCCACCAGTGGATCCTAAGTTTGGGCCCTACACCCCAGAGCCTCAGAAGAAAGGTCTGGTAAAGGTCCCTAACTGTGGTATCCTGACTGAATTTCCACATAAAAGCCTGATCCTGTACAGTCTGCAAACACACTGGGCCAGCACGGGAGGAGACAGAGGCAAAGGGAACCAAGTGCAACTCTAGTTATAGAGATGACAGTGAAGTACTTTTAAGAGTCTAGTCTTACCGCTAATTAGGGGCAGGGCTGGAAGTGGTCACAGGTCTCTTGACCTCAGTGTTGTTTCTACTACACTAAGTAAATTCTGCCAGAGAATGGGATCAGGGCAGAAACATGCTTACTGACTTTAGGAGACTGCTGTAAGCCAGTGTTTTGTGCTTTGAGTAACAAACTCAAATCACTCAAGTGTGATCTGGGGACCAAGCGCCTCAGTGTTATCTGGGAGCTTGTTAAACAGGCAGACTCTCAAGCTCTGCTCTAACCTCTTGAATCAGAATCTGTATTTAACAGGATCCAAGGTGTTTCATGTGCACATCTGGGAGCACTGAGGCACCATGTGCTGCAATCTCTGAGGCAAAAGGGTTGCAAACTGATTGTATTAAACAGTAGTTTTCAACCCTTGCTGTACATCAGAATCACCTAGGGAGTTTTCAAATATTGTTGCTGGTGTTCCACCTCATAACAATAAAGCGAGAATCTTCTCAGCGGATGGTAATGCAGCAGCCATGGTTGAGAAGCTCTGCACTGAATTCACTGGAGTCCCCCTTTGAATGTTGAGACCCAATCAGCCAAGTAATCTGTAGAGAAAAGACCACAAACAAAAATAACCTCAGGGAATACCAGAACTCACTTGAAAGTCTCCATCACGCTACATAAAATCCCCACACAGGAGCTCCTCATGGAACTGGCTGTGCTGAAACTATTTTTTAAGTTGTCCTTACTACCACCTCTAATTCTACTTTCCAACAACAAACCCAACCTTGACCTGTCCTCTATAACTGTCATTAATCTCGTAACTTCAAACTGTCACTGTCCCATGTCCAACTATACTTCAGTCACCAGGACTCCTTGTTGCCTAACAGCCACAAAGCAGCTTGCTTCACTCTGTCACTACAAAAAAGAAACTAATGGGAAATACCCAGGTGCCATAACCAAT